CCGGTTATTGAAGTCGCCTTACGTCTAATTGTTCGCGATTTGGATTTCTCTATCTTATATCTCCTTTAAACTTCAAGAAGATACCGGAACTAACTGCATGAACCACGTTCGCCTCTTCCCAACATTCATTATAAGGATTTCAGACGTAGTATTGGCGTATGTAATATTAACCTAACAAACATGTTTCACGAACTCTATGAAGAAAGTCGATTGGCGATGAGTACAACGGTTCTGAGTCTCCATTAGATCAACAGAGTCTTAGGCGGAGTGAGTAAGCTTGATGTCAATCTTTCCATTCATTTTCAAGACGTTTAGTAGCAAAATTAGCAAATGAGTTGATAAAAAGGCAGATGATAGGATATGTTTTTTGTTACGGCGCCGTTTAAGTCCCGGTAAACTGTCCAGAGAGGCCTAAGTCTCTATCTCGGGCAATATTAACTAGGGATACCGATGATTTGACTATGCGCTGAAAAAATCGAGAAAAGTGAATGGTGCATGTGTCTTCTATGGAGGATAGATCGTGAACTAGATACGAGAAGATACTAAGTTACTAAAGCGAGACTCTCCCTATATAAGCCCTCGATATAGTCATTTTGTCTAGCACTACGTAAAACTCTACTCTGAACAAAGTCTACAGGGCATTGAGCCAAGATACCGCTTAAATGAAACAATACACGCCCGTACTCTTGAACATGTGATCCATAAATAATTGGTATGTTGACAGAATATTTCACTAATAAGTAAAAGTAGACTTGATGGAGGGGAATCTACACACGCAGAAAATGGATGGATGGGTAGATGAATGAGGAAAATAATAACCTTAATCTGTCCCTATAAGCAACCCATTGAGCAACTACCATCGTCAGAGAAATTACAGATAGAGAACCAAACGGAAAGGAGGACGTAGGAGGCCGTTAATACGGCAGTGGGATGAAATGAAGCTGGATGAAATTGTTCACTATTACCTCGTTCAGTCGTGAACATCCAGAACGGTCACAAGACCACCTCAATACGGCGTAGATGAAGCATGAAGGGATTTAAGGATAGAAAACAAGCATCGGATTCTTTATAAGCAGATAAATAAAACAGACAAGCAATGCCGTTTCACCGACACAATCAGCCATGCCGCCTCACCACTTGGTGTCATCCTACCTGACCCATTGCCGCTACATGGTGTTTGTTACCACTTCTCAGCTTGATCGTGATGGCTTCGGTGCCCATTTCTGAGGCCGGGGATGAGAAGCGGTACAGCGAGACGGACTGGTGCTGTTGTCCAGCTCTAGGCATCAGAATGTGCTCTCGAAGACGATAACCCGCGTGAATAAAAAAAAAAAAAAAAAAAAAAAAAAAACTCGCGAAGAAGGGGTCGCAAGGACGGTGCATAGGCATTCATCTGTTCACTAGACAAGTGATAACTCGCTCGTCTTTCGTCTAGCCTATGGCCGATCGTAACGGGATTGTGTGTCCAGTACGTCGCTCACCCTTCTCTCTGGGATGCCATTCTCTTCTTCTTCAGATGTGGAATATCTCAGCCTGGCAACGCTAATTATAGATAGGAATTGAACTCAGCTCTCATGTAGTAACATACCGATACCAATAGTCGCCACGGTTGGCTCCCAATAACATTGCAACTTCTCACACTGACATCTTCTCGCCAATATTTTCACACATTGAACAAGAACTGGGTTGTCAAGTGAGGCATGTCAAAGCTTGATCGCCAAAGCAACGCAACCTCTCCGCCAGATGAGACTTGGGCTGACGTCTCCAGACATCTTGAGCACCTGGGCCAAGGTCTTGATCGGCTCTTGGATGGCGAGGCGATAGTGTTCGATTGCATCATTCTGGGAGAATGTCAGCTAAAGTTATTGATGTTTGAATAATAACTTCACCTACCCTTTAATCGCAGGCATTGAAAGCTCAATAGACAAGCTCAATGAACAGCACAAGGATTACTTACGCCTAGGGTGTCGCATGCCATCTCGCCAGCAATGGTTCGTAGACAATATGGCCCATCAAGGAAGCGACAAAGGTTCTATGTGCAGGACCATCAGAAACATCCGTTGCATCACCCGGCCCTCTCCGCTTTGGCACTCGGCATTGTACATGGGCCAATATTCGACGAGCTCGCGGAACGAAAAGCCATCGGAAATGACACAATCTGATGCCATACTGAGCCACGTTATTTCGGGCATCCACGACACGATCGGATCAATGTGCTGCCGTCTGAGGGGATGGAGATCGTGCCCTAGCGATGCCACTTCAAACTTGTTCGATGGGGTCCGCAATTTGGATCTCGCCAGTGACGATGCCAGGGTACCCTAACTTGCTCTTGGAATCACTTATCCTGGAATAGCGGTTTAAGCTCTTCGACGGGCGGATACGGCGTGATGGGGCATGTGGAGCTTATACCATGTAACTGTGATACAGAATTTGGGGAATATTGAACTTGTTTACATCCAAACGAGGATGTGTGCGATTTACGGATAAGGGCATCTTGAAAGTGTTTGCTCACTCCCCCAACATCCCCAATCTTCATCGGAAAATAGCTAAAGGATGGTGGCCACCCACCAATGATGAGATGTTCCAGAAACCAGGACGAATTTGTGTAGCCAATGATGCTGCTTTCCCAGATGGAAACACCATCACATTGTGAGGCATCGTTGGGACTGGCTGCGGATGAAGCTGATGTCCATGGTAAAGCGGACACCAGCACGGCCAATGAAGATACGATGCCAGCCGAGGGCCCAGTAGGACGAGGTCATACGGATAAGGCTCGACTGAGTTTTTGTTGTTGGACTTTATCAAGCGACATCGTCTCGTCCAAAGACGTCACCATGGTCATCATCATACGTGGTATCAAAGACAAGGATATATGCAGCCGTGATCCATGCTGGCTGCAAAAGACAAAGTCCTATGGAGAATATGCATGTATTGATCGGTGGACCGGACAGGTGACCGTAGGTGGATAGACGGGGACTCATCTGGCTGTGGAGAGATTGGTGGGCGTTTGTGTGTTTGTGAGTTTGGTTGGCTGATAGAGCTCGAGTTGGTGAAGCTAATGTTGCGATCGCGGCCTAAGCGCAGGCGCCGAGACTTTGATACCCTGTTTTCAGATGTCGAGTTTTTATATCCTGGATGGTGCTACAGTACGAGCATCGCTTAGGACGTGGTGGCAACTTGGGCTCCTGTTTCAATTTTGTTTCAATTTTATTTTTACCTTGTTGATCTGGTTCCATGTTGTTTGCTGGTTTGCATTGTGTATTAATGCATTTGCTGTATGTATTGTGAAGACACGACAACAAATGGCACATCCTCTCTCTCTCTCTCTCTCTACAGAATCAGCATACAATAGTATGGGGCACACACACACACACATCTTCGTGATCTCCTCTGCTTGACCGCAGCTGCAGGTAAATCTCTCTTCATCATAGGGGACCCCCACACAATGTCTTACTTTTCCCTCTCTTTCTTTTCTCACCCAAGCCGGCCGCACTAGCATCTGCCCCAAAGCAGACAACCGTCATCTCGGTGTGCAGCAGTAGGAAAGAAAAAGAAAGCTGCAAGAGAAGTGGAAACTTGCAGACTGGACCCTCATCCCAGTCAGCTGGATGGGAATCCCATTTGTATTATTCATCCGCTTCGGCCAACGCGGGTGCTTCCGCTAGCCATCTGGATCAGCACAAGTTATGCAATGGGCTCCGAAGACTCGGTGAAAGGACGGCGGCCTGTTAATGCGCGGGAGCTTGGGTTAGTTAGTCCCCCCCCCTTGCACGGACAGTATCTCTTTGCTTATTTCAACGCGTTTGCTCCGAATTGCGGAGACGTTGGATTCCCCGACAAGCCACTCAGCAGCAGCGTGCATGGAAGAGGCGTTCAAAGGAGGCGAAACTCTTTAGGAGTCAGTCAGTCCTAGGCAGGCAGAGCAAACAGGAGACGGGAGAGATGGAGGAGAGAGTAGGCGAGGAGGCGAGGAGGCGGGAAAGAGACGGCGGGAGCGGGAACGGGAGTTTGAGCCCATTCTTCCAACCACCTACCCAAACCGACCAGACGTACGTTGGTTGGGTCAGAGTCATTCGGCCAGGCAAAAAGATGGACGTCCATTGATGAAAAAAGGGTTTCCGGGCGGCATCCGCGGCGCTTGCAATTGCTCCCCTGCAAACATCCTGATGGGTTTAAAAGGGTTGCATGTGCAGATGACCCCTAACGTTCGCGCTGCAGACGATGCCCGTCCTGTGCATGTAGGTGAACCGCAATGCGATGAATCGATTCCATGGCCCAGTCGCCACCGGTTTTCAAAAAGCCCTATAGGCCAATGGACGGATCCCCGCCTTATCGTCGTGCGCGACGTTATCACGCTTCAGGCATAGGTTGGCCTTCATGGGTTGACGTGTTCTCCCTAAAGCACAAATCGAGGCGCGAGTCAGTGAAGCGAGTCTCCACGTGTGTGACCGCCTGATGTCCCCAATAATACGTGTAACGGGATAGATGGACCCCTTTCATAGCTGGGCATAGCTGGGCATAGCAGGGCATAGCAGGGGTCGCAAAGGGTCGCCTTGTGTTGTGCAAGCAGAGGTCAGGCACCGCGAGAGGCCGTTGTGGCAGCCCAACTGAAGCAGAGGGCCCTGCTCACGGCCTATCACATGCCGCCGCCTTACACCAGGATTTGCATTGACGTGGACTCGGAGCTGGCACAAGTTGTATCCATTCATGATCCTTGTCTGGGAGCTAATCCCTTTCAGTGAGGCGTTTGGGGGGCTTTCCAGCCTTTTTTCTCTTTACCGCTTGATGAGAACTTCATTTTATATTATACAATGCCAGCGACGGCTATCAAGTGAAGCCTTTTTCATCAGTATCCGTCGTCGAGCATTGACTTGACAGAAGACCGCCATCATGGTTATGCGAATGAGGTCGCTGTCTCAGCGCATGCCGTCGTGGTCCAAATCAGCCAGTATGATACTCTTGCCTGTTTCCCACACCGCGTAATTGCTTGCAGTCGTCTGATGCCAAAACCTGTAGAGCGACTCTCAAGAAGCGATGGCCGCTTCAGCACTTCCACCGAGCGCATGAACAGCTCTTCTATGGATCTCAATGACCCTTCACTGTATGCAACCCAACCAGCTCGTCTCTCCGCAATGATCCGGATCAATGTCATGTGTGCTAACCAGAGTCCCAACCCTCAAGTCAGCTGGAGGAGAAGAGTTTCCAGCTGGTTGCTGGCGGGACCAGCGACCAGCTGCGATGGCTTGAGATTGACAACGGCGTCAAGAAGGATGACGACGACGCGCCCATCAGCGAGTTGAGCCCCAGCGAGGATCCCTCTAGTGAGGAGCCCTCTAGCGAAGACGCTCTTGACGAGATTCCGGAAGGCGACAACGCCGACGGAGAGAACGCTGATGGCGAGATTGTCGTCAGTGAGAATGCCACCAGTGTTCATGTTCCCAGCGTCAAGGCCGTCAGCGTCAAGGCCACCAGTGTCAAGGCCGTCAGCGTCAAGACGGCAAGCGAGAAGATTGCCCTCGATGATGCTACCGACGTCGACCCTGACGAGGCTATCAACTACGTGCTTCAGTGCAACGACGACGTCAACCATCATCTGCGACAGATTAACGACGCCCTCAACCTCATCAGCATCATGGGCCCGACGCGTAGTGGCAAATCGACACTCATGAACCTTCTCGCCGGATGCACGGAGGAGCCTCTGTTTTCCACCAGCCCCGGGGCTGAATCCTGGACAAGAGGTAAGAAGAAGCACTGTACATGTTGCTGACATTTACTGACTCACTCTCGCACAGGTACAAACCTGGGAAACAAGATTATGGGTGCCAAGGAGTTCTCCAGACTTGATGAAGGCGTAGAGGTGCCATTGGCAAACCCTCAAAAGGTTGCCTTCCTCGACACTGAAGGCCATGGAGACCAGGGTGACTTGTACGAGTTAGTAGCATCCACCCTTTTTGCCGTGCTTGTAGATGCTAAAGCGATGGCAGCATCATGCTCTTCACTCCCGCCATTCTATGCTCTCGTGTCATCGTTTTCAACACTACAGATGTTGCCAAGGACACCATCCTGACGAGCTTGGCGATGATGACGCTGGCCGCTAACAAGCTAAATTTCGGTGGCGACAAGAAGACCAGCGGGCCAAAGTTTGGTCAGTTGGTCATCATCATCAACAAGTATGATCTTGGAGGCTCGGGTAAGTTTTATATGATATGAGATGAATCGCCACTTCACATTATTTAATACTAATCACCCAACCAGTGGATGATGTCAGAAAGAATATCCTCAGAAAAGAAATTGGCAGGACCGAGGCGGTTAAGAGGAGAAACAAGATTCGAGAGAAGCTGGCCTCCGAATTCGAAGATGTTACTGTAAGCCATCTCATGACCCGACGTTTGAGACGTAACAAGGGAGAGGCGACAAGAGCTTACACAAATTCAGGTTCACCTGCTCCGCGGCAACTCTCTCAAGGAGGGAGTGCAGGCCCAGATCAATGACAAGACCAAGGAGTTCCTTGTTCTCGATGATTTCAACGACAACTACGTCAAAGACTTCAAGAACCTGCGAGCCCAGCTGTCCCAGATGCTCCGAACTCCTCGACTCGTCGCCGGAGCTCCCTTGTCCGGTGCCTCAACCGCAGATTTCGTGTCAAGCATCGTCAAGTCAATCAACCGGCTTGAGCAGAATGGCCAGCTTCACGTGCCCGATATTTGGCGGGCCGCCGAGAACGAGGCCATTAACAGATCTCACATCAAACTCCACCACGACTTTAGGGAAGGATGCAATAAGCTGATCCAGGACCCAACGCTCATCAGCACCAAGGATTGCAACAAGGTATGCTCGTTCTTTGTCTCGTCTTTGTACGCTGCCTTTGTGCTAAATGGGTTTGATTTAGAAACTCGATCGTATTATGCACAAGTGCATGGCCGATGTGCGTAATTCGCTCAAATATCTCTCACAACAGACCATCAAGTAAGGAGCAAACCCTACTCCACCATTCTTGGCAATTCGTTGACAATCCTAGGGATACGTGCGAGAGTCTTGTAAAGGAGTCGGATGGCCAGCGAAATGAAGTCTTGGCCGCAAACCTTCAAAAGATTGAGGCATTCGCCGAGAAGGAGCTGGCCGATTTGATTGCCTCAATACAAGACACCGTGAATGATGCAGTCTCCGACTTCAAATCCATTTCTTCCAACACCGCAGAGAAGATGTTGGATCAGCTTCACGGCGACCTGCTCGAGGCCTACAAGAAGAAGATCTCATCCTACGACGAGCAGGCTCTGAGGGGAAATTACGCCGTCACATACGACCGCGCATTCTTCACGGCAGCGGCGATTGCCAAGCAGAACCTCAAAACCGCTTGGGCTTCATGGCTTGTTGAGCAGGACACGACGAGCTCCGAAGCGATTGCCGCCGCCTTTGAGAAGCTTTACCAGGAGACTCTGATAGGCGATGAGTCGATCTGGGAGACGAGCGCGGATGAGGAGCAGAGCTCTCATCTCACGCACTACAACAACACCATCGATACTGAGTATCTGTGGGAGAATGCAGAAACGATCAAGACGAATTACGCTGAAAAGGTCAACAAGGCCAAGAGCCTTGTAAAGGCAAAGGTGACTGTTCGAGAGCAGGAGATGGCCAAGGACGTTGCCCAGGAACTCGGTAAGTCTGAATAGAGGAGGCTACGAATCGCTCTTTATCGATTCCATGACTAACATTTCTTGTTTCTTAAGAAAAACATCTCGCAGCTTATCAGAGGCAGCTGGACGAGTCTCTGCTGCCCAAGGACGATGTCGGAGAGTTCAAGGCCCTCACCGACACCACAGCAACCCGTGAGAAGCTCATTACTTTCTTAAAGGAGAAGTCCATGAGCAACCGACTGTACGACCACTACCTGAACGAGTTTGACAACCAACTGTCCTCCAAGAAGAGCACGTTTGGCGACAAGTACTCAGCCGGTCAGAACACCCCCATACCTCCTCCCTCATTTCACTCCTCGACTGCTAACACTTTCAAACAGTTCTAAAGGAATTCCTGTCATACATTGACAAGGAGCTTGACCGAGTCGTCAAGGCCCAAATCGACGACTTCAAGAACCAGAGCGACACGCTCCAAGTCACCAGGTTCCTCTCCAAGGAGAAAATCACATCCCACCTCGCCACCTGCGAAAGCACCGCCAAGGCCGCCTTCGAGAGCAACGTCGCCCACCTCAGCCTCTCGCAAGAAGAGGCCAAGCTCCGCGTCACCGAGGCCCGCAACCGGCTGGCCAGCGGCATCTCCGACTACCACATCGCCAAGCTGCTGCTGCTCGACTCCCTCGTCAACAAGTGGAACCGCCAGGCCCTCAACCGATGCGTCAACGAGGTCCTGTCCGGCGTCGTCGACTTTACGCTGGACACGCCCGAGAAGCTGGAGGAGGCCGTCCGGAAGGCCAAGATGACCTACTTTGGAGAGGCTTGTGGTGAGATGACGAAACAGGCCGAGGTAAGTTTCCACCATGTTGGGGTAGGAGAATCGCTGACACGAAAACAAAGACTTGGGAGACTTTTGAACGCAAAGCCGACACGCTGTACGAGAACATTCGGTGAGTTTTCCTTTAGCTTTACCCTCACAATCCTCAATACTCCATGTACTAACAATCTTTCTTAGCCGCGCTCAAGCTGTCTTCAAGTTAAAGGTTCGAAACCACCACCGGACGCCTGCTTCCTAAACCTGAACCCTTTTTCATTTATTCTTCTTCCTTCTTTCAATCATGGCTAACTCCCCACCGCAGGGCATCAGCTATGAATCAACGACCTCGGAGCTGGAATCCAAAGTCATACACGGGATAAGCCGCCCCTTCGCTGACCTAGCCAAGTATGCAAAAAAATCTCCTTATTACGCCATAATTTGGTTGCTCAGATTCTTGAAAAAATCTTTGTACTCGGCCATCATTTGGTTAATAAGATTCCTACTCACATATAATCGCTAGTCTCCTCGGCATGTCCTGGATATCCAGCGGGTCAGAATTCCAGCATGAGCTCCACCCCGAAGGCAACTCAAGGTCATATCTGCTCAAGAACTTGAGCAAGCCAAAAGGATACGGCGTATGTACATATCATCATCATAAGCAAACAAAGAAACCAAAAAAAAAGGACAAGAGAAGAAGAAGAAAGAGAAAAAGAAAAACAATTCATACCCTGGAGTTTTTTTGATTTGAGAGGGGGTTGGGCTAACTGATTTGGCGTTCAGAACAAGCAGTGCACAAGTCTCCGCTTCGACAACTGGACGGCCGAGTTTTCTGATTTCGTATTCGACGAGCCCATCATCCAAGAGCTGTCTCCTTTCACCGTCCGTACTCCCCTCCTTTCAGCACCGCCATTGTCGATCTAGTTTGATGCTGAAACAAAAAAAAAATCCATACAGGTCAAAACTCTCACAGTGCCAGCCCAGGACGAGAAGTAAGTCTACCACTACTCACACCCAACTTCACTTCTAACCCTCTTGTGCAGCACTCAGGTCAACATCGCCATCAAGGAAGAAAAGACGGAGGCAATCACTCACTCCAACGCCGCCATGTTTACCGCTCAAAACGAGTATGCCTCCGCCACCGGTATTGACCAAGTCGTCACCGAGCACATCAAGGTATATCCTCACATGAACCATCAAACACTACTATATTCTTACATCGACTAACACCTCATCTCAGGCCGCTTTCAACGGATCAGACACCTTCGTAGACACCAAGCGCAACGAAGTCACCCTCAACATCGACTTCGACTGCCCCGTCATCTGTCCCGCAAACCGAGCGTACGGCTCAACCACTCCCCTCCATTCCATCAAAAGCTAACCCAACCACAGAACCACCGTCACTTGCTCCGGCTACACACAGCTCATGTCCATCACCTACACCGCCAAGATGAAGTAAAAAAAAACCCCCCCTCCAATCTCACCTTCATCAACCCTCCCCAATACTAACGTTTCCTCACCCAGGCTCGTCCCCGAAGTCACCTTCACAGGAGGTCAGTTCCCCCCCAAATCCCCCCAACAAACCAACTACCCCGTAATCTAACCCCCCTCAACAGGCTACGTCCGCACCGGCAGCAAAACCGGCGAAGCCCCCAACTTCCTCAAGGGCGAGACCAAGAAGCGCGTCTACACGGACATTCCCAACGGTCCCGCCAACGAGCTCAAGGTAAAGCACCCATCCAAGTTACAATCAATTGGAAAAACAACTAACAAAAGCGAACAGGACAAGGCAGCTTCCAACGCCGACCCGTGGGAGTGGACCGAGGCTCTCGCCAAAAACCCCAACATCCAACCCCTCGTCGACCGCATCAGCGATCCGCAATGGTAAGCAAACCCCCCTCCCTATAACTTAAACCACGGGCAACAAAAGAAAAAGGCTAATCTCATCCTCCAGCTACGAAATGTACGTCCGCGGAAAGTGGGAAGGCATCAGCGGTTGGAAATTCGTACGTCCCCTCTCTCTCACCCATAAATCTTCCTCCCTCAACCCCCCTCAGACTAACACTCAAAACACAGGTCATCCAAACCGACATCAAGACTGCATAAGCAACATCTTAACCAAGCACACTCATACATTCACACACACTCTCAAACATCTCTGTCACATTCCAAGCATCCAAGCCCATCGGCTCAAACTCACTCACATATACCAACTATCCCAACTATATACCAACTTTACGTTCCACGCAAGCATTAGATACGGTTCACGACACTTTGCTTTTAGATAGCCAACACGCAGACACACACACACACACACATCACTTACTAGAATGAAATTACGCGTTATCTGACAGGAGAGACGAATTACTCAAAACCAAAAAGATTCCAATCTGTGCCAAAACGAGTGAATAACCTATTACTGCATAACTTATACTTATACTTATACCGTAGACATTCTGATAGATAGTATAGTAGTCAAAGTGTTGAACAAAGTTTTTGAGAAAAGAGTGAAAAGAATGAAAAAGCCCCTGTCCCTCAAGTATGCCTCATGGGAACTCAAACAACCTGGTAGACTCAGCCACATACAGACTTACGCCTGCGAGATGGCTGCCTGGTTGGGATGCTTGTCGATGCCGAGGCTAAAGCGGCGCTTGATGGCCTTCCAGGCTTCAATGAGCATAATGTAGACCGCCACGCAGCCAAACACGACACCCCACTCCCACGTTAATGCCTGGTGCTTAAACACAACCTTGTTGACGTAAGGAATGTAAATGACGGGAAAGGTAATGATGAATCCCGCAACAACGGACCAGAACAAGAAATGATTGTGATAGATGGTCTTGAAGACGGACAAGGGGCCCTTCCACCTCTCGTCCATGTTGAACAGACTGCGATGAAAGTGCTTCACCTCCCAAGCAGTAATCAGAAGCAAAAAGCTCAGCGTGGCAAACGTCGCGGCCCTGGCACGAAACACGAGGCCGCATCCGTCATGGCCGTGCTCGTTGCAGTCGATGGGCAGGTCGTGGAAGCCCTGTCCAGAAGATGCATAAGCCACCAGCATAAATGCCGCCAGGCAGAGAGACCCCATACAGGTGCCATACACGAACTGGTCCCGAATCAGGTCCAAGGTGAAGACTCCCGACCGCAAGTTGCGGGGCGGGCGCTGCAGAATGTCTGGCTGCGCCTCTTCCAAGCCCAAGCCAAGAGCAAGGGGTGACGAGGTGACGAGGTTAGCCCACAGGATCTCGAGCGGCGACAACGGAAACACGGCGATCTTGTCCTCGTCCTTGAACGCCAGCCCAATCAATAGAAGGATGACCTGGGCCAAGTTGGAGGTGAGGAGATGCAAGAGGAACTACGAGCATATCAATGGTTAGCCCAATCCTCTATGGACAAGTATGTGTGGCTCAGGGCGAGTCAGCAAGCCTACCTTTTGGATATTGTCTGCGAGCCTACGTCCTTCCTTGATGCCTGTCACGATGGATGCAAAGTTGTCATCCGTCAGCACCATGTCCGACGCTTCCTTGGCCACATCGCTTCCCCTATCGCCCATGGCTATGCCCACGTCGGCTTGCTTCAGCGCTGGCGAATCGTTGACGCCGTCACCAGTCATGATGCAAAACGCCTTTCGGCGATGCAATGCTTTGATGACTCTGACTTTGGTCAAGGGGCTGCATCTGGCAATGACAAGCGGAAGGGCATCCATGCCATCGATCTGGTCGTCTGTGAGATTGCCAAAATCGATCGCCGACATGACAGTTGTCGGGGACAAGGGCACGTCATGCGACAAGATGCCGACTTCGTATGCAATCGCAGTCGCCGTCTTGATGTGGTCGCCCGTCACCATGTGCACGGCAATACCGGCCTGGCGACATTGCGACACTGCCCCAGCCGTCTCCGGGCGAGGAGGATCATACAGACCAGCGAGCCCTAGGAAGTGAAGGCCACTTTCGACCTGGGCGCGGTCGTGGGCGTCCTCCTTCTCCCTGTCCAGGGTTCTGTTGGCGATGCAGAGTACTCTGAGGCCTTCAGCAGCGAGCTCCTCCGCCATGGTGTGAATCGTCTGCTTCAGCTCTTCAGATTCGTTGAGTTTCGGCACAACTACCTCGACGGCACCTTTGGTATACACTTGGGACGTGGCATCGATGTCTCTACCATAGACAACACTCATGAGTTTGCACGACGAGTCAAAGGGGTGCTCTGCGACGAGTTCATCGCCGGCAGTCTTATTCTTTCCAAAGCGCAGAGCAAAGACTTTGAGAGCTATCTCCGTGGGCTCCCCCACTGCCTTCCATTCATCTGACCCAAAGGCCGTCGTGACACTACTCGAGTCAGTTTCGAGCTCCTTCTTGCCGTCGCTAACGGTGGAGTTGTTGCACAGGACCAGAGTGTCGAGAAAGGCGTTGAAGCAAGTTCCTACGAGGGATCCGGACCACGACACGGTGCCGCTGCTCGGATCATAGGGGTTGGAGGTGCCTTCGATAAGCCCAACGAGGCCACCTCGAAGCCACACTTTGCGGGCAATCATGCGTCCCTGGGTGAGGGTGCCGGTCTTGTCGGAGCAAATGTTGGTTACTCCGCCGACGGCCTCGAGAGACGGCATCTGGCGAACGATTACATGGCCCTTGACCATTGCCTTGGTAGCGACAGCCATAGTGACGGTAAGCACGGCAAGGAGGGACTCCGGAATAACGGCGACGCCAACGCAAATGCCGTACAGCAGAACATTGTCATCAATGTCCCACCTACTAACAGAGAAGACAATAACGGCCAACAGTATAGCCAAGGCGAATAGCAGGAGTGCAAACTTGCTGAGAGTGACTTGCAGAGGCGTCCCCTCCAGGCCAAGAATGTTCCTGCTAGTCTGGTAGCAGTTGATGAGGAACCTGCTGACGGGGCCAGAGCCGGTGTTCTGCTTCTTCTTTTGACGCAGCAGTTGGGCAATCTGGCCCACCTCGGTCTTCATGCCGGTGGATATTACAATGCCAGTCGCCCGGCCTCGAGTCACAGAGCTACCAGTGTAGACCAAGTTTGTGCGATCGCCCATGGGGAGATCGGGGTCGTTGAAGATGGCATCTGGTTTCTTGCTGATGGCCACAGATTCACCCGTGAGGTGGGATTCGTCCGTTGCGAGGTTGATGCCTTGAACAAGACGTAAATCGGCGGGAACTACGTCTCCAGTGGAGAGCCAGACCAGGTCACCCTTGACCAGGGTTTCTGCCTTGACGGTATCGTTGAGCCCATTCCGGATGACTTTGCATTTGGGCGTAGACAAGGCGTAGAGCGACTGGATTGTCTGCTCAGCGCGGTAGTCCTGGATCAACCTGTGATTTTGTTTCATAACGTGTGAGCAAGACATGAAAAAGAGTGGGAAGCATGCAGATGATTCCCTTTAAGAGAGATGTAGAAAGAAGGAAAAGGAAAAAGAAAAAAAAAGAGAAAGAAAAGAAATAATGGCTATAGCAGTAGGCTTGGTCTCTTCCTTTCTGCGTCAGTTGTATTTTTGCAACATACCCCACGATGATATTGAGGAGAATGACGGCCAGGACCACGCCACCTTCGACAAAGTCGTGAATGGCAAAGGACAGCGCCATTACGGCGATGAGCACGGCAGTCAAGGCATTGGCAACCTGTTGGAGAAAGATCTCCCAGATGGAGATGCCCTTTGCTCCCTTGATAGTGTTGGGGCCGTCCCGAGCCAAGCGGGCGGCAGCCTCGTCGACAGTTAGTCCATCTTCGGCGTCGGTTTTGAGGAGCTCAGCAACTCGCCGGGCTGATAGGGTGTGAGGACAATGCGGCTTCTCTATAGCTAATATGTCGGGGGGTTCCGCTATAGGTGGCTGGTCGTCCTGGCTGCTGGAGAGGGTCGACGAGTCCGACGAGGCGTTGGCGTCTTGTGCACCATTCGTGACGACAATAACGGTCTCTCCCATCGAACGGGTATCGAGAAGCTGTTTCCAGCCGGGACAAGACACGCGGTCTTTGTATTTATATTTATAGGACTTGTTTGGGGGTAAAAGTCAAACGGCTGTTCCTCCTTGCCCTTTTCTGGTGGTGGGGGGGTTGGAGGGGGGCAGACACGAACGAGAGGGGCAGAGATGAAGAAGCAAAAGAAGAGGGATAGAAGGGATGAAGAAAAAATATTCAAGATCCTTCAAGATCCGTCTGGCTAACTATACAGGTAGCTATAAGATACAACCTTGTTTTATACAAGACAAAAAAAAAAGAAGCGGCGAAGTGAAGCCTGGGAAAGGCAAAGGGTAGAAGAAGAAGGGGAAGCAAGCATCCTGGAGACAAGAGTGTAGCTTCCCACTCGGCTTTATAATGATGGAACTTGTATCTTGGCCCCAAAGCACCTGGCCGGCCGATCAAACAAGCCCAGCAAATCACAGCCGGGCTGGGCAAACAGCACGCCGTTATCAAACGGAGGCAGCGGATAGATAGAAAGACGATATGCAAGGTGTGGAGGGGGGGAAGAAGAGATGAGAGACCCGATTTCCGCTTGGAGACAAAGCCGCAGCCCACCCTGCAGCTTTGGAGCTAGTTTGGCATGGAGCTGTGTGTGATGGTGCCAAGAGACACTATGCGAGGGGATGATGCGAGATTGAGTTCATGGTGAGGGAAGTTGCTTTTTTGTTTTTTGCCTGTTGGAGAGAGCTTCATCTTGCATCGTTGCTGATTGCTGCTTATCCATCTATCGATAATAGGACAGCATGTGACCTGATCACCACCAGAGCTACACCTACATGTACGTAGGTATTTCCATATTCATAAGGTACCTAGTAGAGGTATAAATCATCCATCAATATCAAATCTCAATCATCAACTTCAACATCCACCTCTCACCAATCACAAGCAGAATCGATTGACTTTCCACCCCATCTCATCCCCCCCTCAGCTTCTTCCATTTTTTAAATACTATCCCATGGGGCACGTGCCGCTGCAACCCCACGGCACAGCGGCAATCAACCATTGAACACACGCCCAATACACACATCAATCATGTCATGTCACTTCTGAAGAAAAAAAAACAACCCTTTTGCCAGGATCTGCCCTCCAGCTAGCGATTCCGTGACCAAAGGCCCCAGGCCAATCCGAACGGTAGAACGAAACGCCCCGCCCCCGGTGATATGGGCCGGAGGGGGGAATACAGCAGAGGATATGTAGCATCCATGTTGGAAGCGTGTCAGTGGCTGCACGGCGTTCGTATAGTGGCATCTGGCTGTATGTATAGAACCATGTTGCCGTAGCGGGTGCTTTAGTTGTTGTGTTTCCAGTCCGGAAGCCGTCATGGATCGTGTTTTGGGTTACTTTCGGCCGAGGTCCGTTCTGTTTTCTATTCTGCTTCCTCTGAGTTCCCCCATCTCGAGCCCTCCCAACCCCGATATTCATCCAGGGTAGCCCATCAAACCACCACATATCCAGCATCACCACAATCCTCATCATCCTCATCCTCATCCCTAATCAAAACCCCGCACCTCATTCGTCTCCAGTCTCTATCCAACGCCGTAAACGCCAATTCTCTTGGCAGACACACCATTCCCACCACCTCTCAAACCCCGTCAATCTTACGTATCCCGGCGCCCGCACTTCCGCTGCCCAAAAGTGGCGGTACACGTGCCTCGACGTCTCATCCACACCTTGCCTTGTTCCGTGTTAGTCCGGGCCACAGCCATGGCGAATAATGCTGGGCAGAACTCAAGCAATACGCAATGTCGACAGCATCGGCACCGGAAAGACGGACGAGCCACACCAATATACTGCATGTACAGTCAGATTGAAGCGAAACCTTGTCGCTTCCTCGGCCTCGATGGTATAAGTCCGTATAACTCTCCGTCAGAAGCAACACTGTGCCAAAATCATCGCAACACAATGAAAGGCTTCAACAATCATCAGCTTTGCCACAACCAAGCCACTAATCGATTAAGCATAACCAACCCGGGCACGGCCGGAGCACTTTCACCCATGCTCTCAAACTCTTGGGTTCTTGGCTCTTCTCCTCCGGTCTTCTTGGCTCGACGCGTGTTCACCGTATCATTTACCAATAGGCCGACTCTCTACATCGCAAACCCGATGCTAAGCCTCCCCTTGCCCCTCCTCCCCTTGCGTTGGTCCTCTATCGAATGGCCTCTTTTTGAGCAACTTGCTTGCTTCTGCTCGGATAAACTGCACCATGTGATGTCGTTGCTGCATATGGTGTACCTTGGCAAATGCCACCTGATACATCAGACAAGCATAAGTGCTCCAGAGTACGAGGCGCAGCCAGCCAAACACCAGCGTGCTGGTCTTGTCTCGCAATCGAGATAGAACGTCGTGCTCTCATCCCTCGCATAAAACGAAACGAATAGGCAACACAAGCCTCAAGTCCGTCAGTCACCTGTCAACAAGTGTTCAACGCATGCAAAACAGTCACACCAAGTCCAAGTAACACCATCTTTGCACGCAATATTCATGACAAAACTTTTGACTCGCATTCTCCAAGACATTTCTATCCCAACAGGTTAATGTACGGCTCCGGCCATTTCCCCCATACCAGCGGTCTATCTCCCAGTCTCCCGCTCACCGGGGCCAAAATCTTCATCTTCCGCCTATCCTCGTCCACATCCGCCACGTAGACGAAGCCCATCACGTTAGCCGCGCGAACCACGTCCGGACTATCACGCACAGAGGCGTTCATGACTGCAAAAGTCCAGTGCTGCATGAGAGACGAGGGCTCTTCCGTGACTAAGCTGTGCTTTTCATCAGGTGAATCTGTAGATATAATCGTCAATGGTCTGTGTATCGAATAGTAAGAAAAAAAATGGGTTGACTTACAGTCTGCCAGCTTGTAAATGACCAGACTATCAAAGTCGACCTGTTGAATCTGCGGGCTCAACGTCCTCTTTGCGTCTCCAAAGAAGTATTCTTTAATCACAGCCTCGCGCGACTGCTCCAGAAACGCCTCGTCCCTCTCCACCACTCCATCGGATTTGTCAATGGAAATCACCTGTATCGCCTCCCCAAGACTTGTCTTTTCAGTAGCAAACCGGCTCGAAAGTTGAGTGTGGATCTTGGGCGACCCAACCACCACCACAATGTTGACTGCACGAAAGATATTAGCCGTATCCAACGCATCTTCCGGTGGTAAACTGGACTGGCTTACCTGAAAACTCATCAACAATATGTGCCACCAGCTCCAGCCCCAGCTGACCGTCTTCGCTGATTCCAATCCCGTCTACAATCACCCCCGACCCCTTCACCTCGTCATCCTCACTCAACCGGCTACTCACAGCTCCGGCCAGCCTTGCGATAAGCTCGCGATACAGATCCTCGTCATCTTCCGCGGATTCTCTTCCATAGTTGAACACCATTGGCAGCTTAACAGGTATCGTGCTCGGCCCGCTCGTCGGCGTCGATCCCCAGCCATCCACAGCCTCCGGGTCCATGACGGTCGCAAACACGCTGGCGCTCAGCGTCCCAGGCAGGCTCAGCATGCCCTCCTTGGGATTCACATTGACCGTGATGACCTGATACCCCTGGCGGGTCGCATAGCTCGTCAGCGTCTTGGCCAGCGTCGTCTTGCCCGAGCTGGGCGGCCCAACCACCAACACTCTGGGCCCCTCGCGACGCCGCCTGTTGGCGTCCACGCGCAAGTCGTTGAGCCGCGCATGGAGGTTTACGTGTGACGTAGCCGGGTTCGCAACCGGGTTCGAGTACTGGGCAACGGAGTCATTGTCGCACCGCCCGTCAATCTCCAGCTCGCAGCCGTGCCATGTCAGGATCTTGGACTTGATGCCGGAGAAGGTGTAGGCATTGCGCAGTGGAAGTTCGACGCCGTCCTTTTCGGCTGTCCCCGAGAGGACTTTGACGGTGAGGGAACTGCCCGGGGGCACTTGGAATCGCCACTCCCAAGCCGGGCGGAGGGAAATGGTTCGTGTCGAGGAAACGGCCGCCTAGAGAGAGAAGAAGAGAGTCGAGAGTGTCAGTAGAGCTGATGGCAGTCATCAAACAAACAATTCAGCGGTTTAGAGATTGGCCAAAGTGTGACGCACTTGTACCGGGATTTGCCCAAGGCCGGGAATGGACATGGCCGCCTACATACAGAAGAAGAAAAAAGAGCAAGGCTGAATGGCGGAAGTGTCGAATCTTTTTGCTGCAGCTCGAAGCTCGAAGCTCGAAGCTCGAAATCGATACTGCCGATACGTACCGACAAGCGCAAAGCGGCCAAGAAGTGCGACATGTGGGGCCCTAGCTCTGCGGTAAAAGATACGGCCTCGAACAGCTAAAATGCCATACAGTGAAAAGTATCTGCTAACATGGTTGTGAATCGCTGTTATTTTGAGGCCCGGGCGGCCCGCTGACGTCTTCCAGCATGGCGCTAAGAATTAGATTCCAGCTGGTGCTGCGTTGGTGCCCAGATCTTGCATCAAAAGGTGATGATTAGGCATATATACTCGTATAACTCCTTTCTGTGTAGGCGATGAAGAAAAAGACAGCTGTCGAGTTGAAAACATGTAGTGAGAGAAACATGTGAAAGGGAAATGTGAGAGAAAAGACAAGAGTTAAATGTAAGAGCTTCTATCGCTGTATATTGTTGGTACCTGGATAGTCGACACTGTTTTCTAAACGAATTCACGTATAATCCCGTCCATGCATACAACGCAAACCAACCCTCATCCCATCTTCCCTCCAACCCCCCTAAACTCCACCAGATAAAAGATTCCAAACGTAAAAGTGATAAAGATGTAAAGAGAAAGCAAACCCCCCCGTTGCGCCTAAGCCGTCATATCGTCGTTATAGGCAGTAAAAAGACAAACCATCTCCTCCCATCCCATCTCCATGCGGAGCCGAGCTCTACCCTTCAAAAGTTCAAGTTTTGTTCCAACCAACGTAAACACCACAAACACCTAGTTTTGGGTATTGTCTCTCTGTTTTGTTTTCCCTTCATCGTCATCTAGACTTCTTTGGGGTATCAGGAAAGATTCTCCTTCCAAGAGGTATGAATATCTGCCCACCCTTTTTTTTTTCTTGTTCTTCTTTGCAAGAGGAAGCCATCCAATTCCCTCAACGCCGGTAGCCACTCCCATCATTCCAATGGGGGTGCGGTCTTGTATATACAGGTACGGACAGACACGGGGGAAAGCGACCAATAAAAGAAAGCCATGCCATCGTGCATGCGTCTAGTCATCTTCGCCAGCCAGCTCTTTGAAAATCCGCAAAAGACTTCTGACTCCAGTAAGGGTATTCTCGTCGGGCCCGTGGCCAGGGGTGAAGTTTGCGTGCGCAAAGTCGATGAGTTTGAGGGTGTAGATTTGAGGCAGCTGGAGGTCGTCCTCGTCCTCGTCCTCGTCTTCAAAGTCGTCTTCCTCCAAGACGATGCCGCTGTCCATTCGGTTGTCCAGCCTCATGTTTGTGCGCTCGACCGGTGGGCAGGTATATGACTCGGCCGAATCACGCTCCATGATTTCGTTGTTCTTTTCAATCGCAGAGGCGAGGGCGTCGCCGTCGCCCTCGAAGATGAAGAGGAGAGACGACGAGTACATGCGGGTCTCGTGGCTGGCCAAGACCTGCTCTATGCGCTGCAAATCTCGCACAAAGGCGGAACACACGGCTCGACCCAACTCTTGGCCGACGCCGGCAGCCTTGTTGAAGACGAATTTCCGAAAAGAGTCGACAACGTTGTCGTCGTTGACCGTCAGCCGCCCGAAATCCTTGTCATAGATTGTGTAGCCTTCGTCGTCCCACGTGGACTCGTCCTCGGAGCCTTGATACACTCGCATGCCAGATATGCGGAAGCCCAGCTTTCCGTGCGTCGTCTGCGATGAGATTGTGTCGAAGCGCTTCTTCTTCTCGGCAGGGGCATCGTCGGCCCACAGCCGGACGCCCAGCTTGACGTCGAGGATGTTTGCCTTTTTGTAGCCAAACGAGGCGTTTTCCAGCACCACCGACTTGTCCGTCTTGATCTTCTTGCCCTGTGTGGGAACCCACGTGGTCTGGTCCGAGGCGGCATCGGGGGCGACCTTTGCGACGTGCTCTGCGATTGTCGCGGCAATCTGCTCCTTGGTGGTCTTGAAGTCGCCGTTGCCCGCGATGACTCCCATGAGCCCGTCGTCAAGAGGCACCTCTTCGGGTTTGCTTAACCGCAGCTCGCCCATGAAGATGGGCATGATGTCGGCGAAGTCGCGGAAGCCTTGGGTCTCGACCGCCTGGTAAAAGTCGATCTCGGTCTGCGTGCAGGGCTTGATGAAGAGCTCGCCGTCGGCGTCGCACAAGGTGCCGGCACTGTTGTTGCGCAAGAGGGATGAGTTAGCATACACGATCACCATGGTCTGCCTCGTCTGCTTCGTCTGTTCCCTCCGTCTCTTCTTCTTTGCGCGCACGCATCACAAACAAACAAAGGCGCGGAATCACTCACTGTCCGGCAACGGCGTAGTTGTAATCGCGGAGCTGGTCCGGGGTGGGAATTCTCTTTTTGCCTCCCATGGCTGTGATGTCCTGGTCTTGATCCAGATTTTCTTTTTTTTTTTCCTTTCTCTCTTGTCTCTCTCTCTCTTGGTTCACCCAGAAGTAGGTACGTAAATATTTATAGAATGCACGGGACTAAAGGGTCGTGATTGGCGCCGGAATAGGGCACGCCTGCAGGCTGCAAGATGACTCGGGTTTCAAGGGACCGCCGCAGTCACAGGAATCGCGCAACCATGTCGAGCATCGGAAAGAGAGGCGCTGAGTCAGGGCAGAGGCAGAGGCTCGAGGTTTTATATATGGGCAGTGTAGAGTAGAGTAAAGTAGAGTAGAGTAGAGAAGAGTAAAGTAGAGTAGAGCAGAGCAGAGTAGAGCAGAGCAGAGGAGGAGGGAATGGAAAATGCCTTGTGCAGCGCCGGTTGGTGAATCGGATTGAAGCTCGCAGGTGAACAGACAGAGTGGCGGCTTCTGACCGACTCGGTCCAACTCCATGCGACAAACAAACGCACAGCACAACCTGCACTGAACCTTGAAGCGCTGCGCTGCGCTGTTTCCCGCCACCAGGCCCGGCACGGCATAGCCTGCGGGTTGCACGCCTTAGCGCCCTCTTCAGCCCATTACAGCAGGGCCACAGCCCGCTAGCCGGAGCCACAGGCGTCTTTTGACCCCCCCAAGCAACTTTGTCGCCCCCGCCCCTTGCCTGGCTGTTGGTGCTGGAGCTGAGCCACACAGCCGAATTCAACGCTCTTCAGCGCCGGCCAATCGCAGCGGCTACGGCGTGTGAGATCTTGGTAAGGCGCACTGTTGGGATTCCATCCATGCCCTGTCCTCACCTCCCACGCGGCAAAGATGCACGTAACGCATGGCGTGGGAGCGATAACGAGGAGCGATGCAGGGTGGAAGGATTTGAATGATTGCACATCATTATCTTGACGGGTACCTACTAAGGATTCCACATTCCCGTCTGCGCTTGGTACCTAAGGCACATACATGTAAATACAGGCACCTACAGGGGGGAAGCCGGATACAGAGTCCATGTCACCGAGTGAGCGTGAGCGTGAACTCTTCTTCAGCTGGCTTCAGGCCCGGCCATCATCATCCTCTCAGCCTCTCTCAGCCTTTTCCAGGTCTCTCTTCTGTTACTCTCCTCCAAGCAAATCATTTCCATGAGAGCATGTTTTCTCTCACGCTCAATCCCTTCTCTCCCCCTCGTCTCTCCTCTGCGTACCGTGTGCCGTGATTCAATGTTTGCTCTCACCCAGATGGACATTCGTAGATGAAACAACAAATGCTGGCACTAGGTAACCAGCCGTTGCACCGCTCTATTCCCCGTCAACAGCGGGTCAATCTCCAATTCACCGTATCTTGTTCATGTTCGCTTTTTTTTTCACTCCCGCGTGACTCTTTAGCACGGACATGTCCAACCACATGGTGCCAAATGCTGCGTCAAAAACCCTTCACTTACATGCCAATGGCCAATACGTGTCAGCGCCAGAAACCACAGCCACGCCCTCATCCTACACAGCACAGAAGAGCAAAAGCAGGTCATCCGGGAGTCGATAGAATCCAGTGTCACCCCAAACTGCCCATGCCCTGCATACAAATATACTACCTGTACCATGCCTGCCTACCTCACATGCAGTCAGGGCATGTGCATGTACATGTATGTAGGTGACCAATACAGTTGTCATTCACAGCTGCTTCCCGACCAAAATAACACCATCATCACTCTCTCTTTTCTCAACGGTAAATGGCGCACTGACTGACAGCCTGCCGCAAGGAGCAGGGCTCCAAAGGCTGAGCCTCTCCAACCCTATTAGCCGCTGACACCCGCATCGCGAGGCTTGCTCAGCCCTCCTCGAGCCGGGAGCAGAATTAGGCACGATACGAACGGAAAGCACACGGTTGGCTTGCAAGTGCAGACGCTAAAATACTATTCCATGCAGACATGAGATCTATGACGCAGTTGATGCCATGTATTTTGTTCTCGGTATGGACGGGATATAGTAGTGGACATGTACCCAGGTCAGTTTAGTAGGTCGTGGTAGTCCACCTTGGCAGGCATATGCCTGTAATCAGATTGGTATACGAGTATGTCATGTCTTCAGCTTGACAGTAGAGCCGACTATAGATTGTGCCCAACCATTTACTGGGCACCAATCTGTATACTCGCAATAGCATATACCCAGTACGCAGGATACACGTATTCTGCATGGCTGCAAGCTGGTCAATAGGTACCTGTTGTCCACTGCAGGCATTTACATGCACGCTGTCAACTCAACTACTACATGTAACCTGCGTGTATCCAGCCACAGAGAGGTAACCACAGAGAAACTCGGTTACACAACCAATAAACGACCGCGTGCCTCTGCCTATGTACCCCATGATCACATTCCAAATCTTCGAGAGCTCTTCATGTCTTCACTTCGCAAAGAACTAAGCCAAGATGCTCGCACAATTCTCGCCAAATTATGTGGTTGGACCACGCTAACAGGTATCCAAGCGTGTACAGCCTCAGAATAGCTATCCATTCCGGTTAGTCCACAGGTTCGTCGAATTAGATGATTTATGAGTGAGCAAGTTGATTCTGGCTCTAGAAGCTGTCTAGAGCCATGCGAACCAACACAGATGCACGTGCGTTTGGATAACATTGAAAAATGTATACGTGAATTCGGGTAAGATTGCCGAGAGGTGGATAGCTTCTGGAAGCTGAAAGACGAGTAAAATGTCTTAATAGTAATGAGCAAGTAAATCGTGTTCAGGTCCAAAATAACACGCACAATTACATATATCCAATGACATGTAAATGGTAATTGACTCAAATGGCACAAGACATCCAAGTCTATTGTTTACCAGCGGAAGCAGCAGATACTAGAGAACGATGACATAGCAACAGAGGCTATGAGAATACATACTGGTATGGTGATAGCACCAGATACTTGAAGAGGCAGGTAAATATGCCTCAAAAGAAGAACAAGAACAATAAGATATAACCATGTATCTCGCGAGTTCAGCTTCATGATTGCTTTTTCCTCTCTTCGCCTATTGTTTCTCATTCGGTACCGCATCATCCCACCTATTCACATTTTTATGGATACAGCATCACCAACGAGAATTGTTTCCTTTTTCTCGGCATCTCGTCATGATTCTTTACCTATTCTCCATTTGAAAACGTGCCACTCCAATAGGGAGGGGCTTTGCCGAATCACTCGCGATAGGGGCTGGATACAGCAAGCAGCAGTGGATCAGACATCTCTTCAACTCCGCGCATCTCAGCTTGCATAATGGGGAGCCTCAGTGTTGAGTTACTCTCCCCCCGTAACCGCAAAGGCCTAGGTTCACGAAACATCATCAGAGTTCTAGAATACCACTTGTTGAGCATCGTTTACGGTGAGCCAGCTTAGCGTAAAGCCCTCTTCACATACCCAACACATCAACGAGCTTCATGATATCGTTGTGTAGCCATCATTTCGGCATCTTGCATTATTATTCCACCCACCAATATGCAGCATCCCATATCTCATTCACAACATATAGCTCAATACCATCTACTCATTCACTCACAAACAACTATAAGTATCTCCACGATTCCGTAGACAATTCCCTCAACACCAGATCCTTCCCCAGCATCGTCTCCCAACCTCACCCTCAACTTCATCAATTACACCCACCACCTCACTCATCATGCCTTCCATCCTCACATCCGCCCTCTTCCTCCTCTTCCTCTCCTCCCACCTCGCCACCGTCCACGCCGGCAACTCCAAATTCTACCTCGACCAGCAAGACTGCGCCGGCGGCGCCTACCTCGACTTCGACATCCACGAAGTCCACAAATGCTACGGCCTCACCTCCGGCACCGCCGCATCCTTCTACACCGACAAGGTCAACGAGCTGGACTACGTCAAGGTCTACAGAAAGGACAAATCGAACAACTGCGGCAAGGAAGAGTGCAGCGTCAAGCAGGCTCACTCGTGCTGCTCGTCCAAGAAGACGCGGATCACGGGAGTGCAGCAGGTGCGCTTCATTGAGCCTTGTTCGCCTTTGCCGCACTGTAAGAGGCAAGCAGAGCTTATGCAGCGGGCTACTGGCCAGAGTAAGTGTTGTTTTTGTTTTTCAGCGCCTTGCTGGTGGGATATTTGTTTACTAACCGTGATGCAGACTGTACGAGCGTTGATGAGATCGGTGAGCCCTTTATTGTGCTTGGCGATGGCACGCATTTCGGCCTCGGTGTTGGAAAGCTGGGAAAGCTCAGCGCAGATGAGCTTCAGGACCATCTTGAGGCCAATGGAAAGGAAAGGCTTTCGGCAGAGCATATTGCGAACCTGATTCAGCTCAAGGTCATCAGGTTTCTTATTTAACCAGTTGGTCACCTAGTTTCAGGCTTAGGGATATGGTCAAGGCTTGATGGGAGATGAAGCCAGCAGTGCATCACGCATGTAATTCAATGCCAGCCAACGTCCGAGTGTTCACATACAGTTGGCTATACACATATCTCAAATGGACTCAATCGCAAGCAGCAAAAAGAGACTGCAAAAGTACCAAAAGTAGACCACGCTTCGAGTCGTGAAAACATCTGAGTCTTGATTAGATTCGCATTCTAGAATCATGTCAACGACCACCTCCGTGTCCAAGATTTGGATTCTTTCCCATCAAAATCAACCGAAAAACTCCACGCAAGATACACACAACGCATCCATGATATATAAAGCCGCGTAAGGAAGAGCTCCCTCTTCCAACCCCCCAAACATATGATTCCACACAAGTGTCCCCTTTTCTAGCCCCAAGTACCACCGCCACCACCCCTTCCACCTCTCTTCTGAGCGCTGAGTCTCCAGTCGTCTTCTCCGGCAAATTTATTGTACAGTGGCTGAATCCTTTCAGCTTGCTTCCGCTTGCTCAGTTTATCCGTCGGCGCCACCTTGAAGAATGTCGGGGCTGCCTCGACCAGCCATTTCGGCTCGATGCTCGTCGTGCAGTGCATGTATTCCTTTGTCGTCAACACGAGCGTGTGGTAGATGATCCATTCCGCTTGCTTTCCAAAGAGGGCCGAACTGGGATGAAGATACACCGGCGTGCCCTCTGTGAGAGTCTTGTACCCTTCCTGAGGATCCTTGCGCGCCGCATTGCGGAAGAATCCCGTGCAGAGAGCCTGCCGCACCTTTTGCGTGTCACGTCCACAAGAGACGACCGGATGTTTATAGCGATCCATGATCTTCATGAGCTGATCTCGGACATCCTTGGCACGACGCATCGACCGCGCCTGGATAAAGTTCTCAAAGCACCAGGGGCTGGAGTAGCCGCTATGCTTCCAGGCATTGTACACGTTCAGAAGCGTCAGGTGGTCTCCGTGAGGGTCGTGAAACTTGGACTTTTTCTGATCGGCCTGGGACTGCTTTTCCTTGGGACGGTAAAAGACGTTGGGCAAGTTGAGCATGGCCACAATGCTGAGCATTTCGTCGGAGCATTTGTGGTCAACGGCAGCGATGAGCACCTTGGCCAGCGACGGCTCCATGGGAAAGTCTGCCATCTTGCGTCCCAGACGAGTTAGCAAGCCTTCGTCGTCCAGTGCACTCAAGGCGTATAGCTCTTCCAAGGCCGTCAACATGGTGTTGATGGGTGGCGGATCCATAAAGTCGAAATGTAAGAGGTCGTTGATGCCCATTGCCTTGAGCATCAAGATGGTGTTTGCCAAGTTTTGTCGCTGAATCTCAGGAATGGTCGTTGGCAACATTTCTGACTGGTAGGCGGCCTCTGTATACAGACGGAAGCATTTTCCGGGACCAGTTCGGCCGGCTCGACCGGCTCGTTGGTTTGCCTGCGCCTGGGAGATGGGCGTCACGACCAGAGAGTCCATTCCGAGCTTGGGATCATAGGCATTTTGCTTGACAAAACCAGGGTCAACAACGTAGTAAATCTCGTCAATGGTAATGGACGTCTCGGCAATATTCGTAGCGATGACGACCTTTCGACTTCCAGGGGGAGCAGGTTCGAAAATCCGGCTCTGCATCTCGCTCGGAAGTTGTGCATATACGGGTAGGATGAGCAAATCCGGTACGCTCGGCCCAAGAGCTTTCATTCTCTCATACAAAATCTCGCACGACGTGTCGATTTCTTCTTGGCCAGTCAGGAATAGAAGAATGTCGCCCTTGGGTTCAGTTAGATGAATCTGCATCACCGTGACAAGCGCGGCATCCAAGTAATCGGATTCAGGCTCGCGAGAATACAAGATTTCGACGGGAAACGTTCGGCCCGGGATTGTGAAAATGGGGCACTCGTTGAAATAGGCGGAGAACTTGTCGGCATCAAGGGTGGCCGAAGTAACAATGACCTTCATGTCGGGCCTCCTCTTGAGTGCCTTTTTCAACAGTGCAAACAAGACGTCCGTGGAAATGGTTCGCTCGTGGGCCTCGTCAAGCATGATGCACGAATACCGCTTCATGTCGGGGTCCATGAGAATCTCTCGCTGCAGCATACCGTCCGTCATGTACTTGATCCTAGTGGCAGGGCTGGTGCAATCATCGAAACGGACGTTGTATCCAACCTCTTCGCCAAGCTTGCAGCCAACTTCCTCCGCCACACGCTTCGCAACCGACATGGCGGCGACACGACGAGGCTGCGTGCAGCCAATGATGCCGTTATCAGCGAATCCCGCCTCTGCGAGATACTGAGTCAACTGGGTCGTCTTTCCCGAGCCAGTCTCTCCAACCACAATCAAGATTTGGTTCTCCTGCACTGCCTTTATCAGCTGCGAGCGGAACGCAAAGACGGGCAGAGTCTCTCGCTGCTCCTTGATACTGAGGTTGGTACGCTTGCCCAGCGACTGCCCCTTGGGAATAACTGCCCTCTTCCACTCGGGCTCTTCGTCTGTCCTGGTGTTCACTCGCGCATGCTTTAGATCGCTGGCAAACTTGCGCTTATCAGGATCGGCCATTGGATCATTCCATTGATTCGACAGGTTTTCCTTCGATTCCTCCTTGGCGGCTTCTTCAGCCTCCTTCTGTTTCAACTCTTTTCTCTCCTTGGCAAGCGTTGTTCCCGCCATTGCGGCTCTGTTCATGGATCCATCAGGGGCCTTTACCACTCGAATAGGAGAAAGCTCCAAAGACTGTTTAGTCTGGCCGGCCAAGAATGGCGGTTCCTCCTCTCGAACTTCAATGTCAACATCCTCCTCCAGCTCCAATTCGCCCTCGCCACGCAGCGTCGCATTGTAATCCTCCTCGAGATCGGGATAGTCTGAGGCTTTTGCCACTCCGGATGCAATGAGCTGTCTGATTTCCCATCGTTCTGGGGACGTCATTCGTTTCTTGTGTCGTCTAGGGGGGCCCAAAGAATCGCGAGGCATTGCGGGGGCAACATCGACGAAGCCATTTCTTCCGCCCCCACCAAGTGCCTCCATATTTGCACCAGTCGTCAATCTCGCCTGTGGTTCAAGATCTCTGCCATCCTCCTGGTCAACATCCTTCATGGACAGTCCTACCCTGTGACCCTCGATGCTGACAACCTTGACCCAGACTTGCTGACCGCTGGAGAGCAGATCTGAGGGGTGAGTTACACGCTGACCAGATACAATGCGAGAAATGTGAACCAGTCCATCAACCTTTCCTCTGACGTGATGCAGGTTGACGAAGGCACCAAAATCCTTAATTCCAGTGACATGTCCTTGGTAGATCTTGTTCATGATGGGCTGGTCATCCACCTCGGGTGCAGGGGCGCGGCTGAAGTCGTCACGATCGATGTCGTCGTCGTAATCGTGTCGCCGTCGGTTTCGCGATTTCCTAGACTCTCGGAATCCATCACGCCAGTCTTCATTGCCAGCGTCCTGTGACGGGGACCGCGACCTGTACTTGTCCCGCTTCCGCCGATCTCGAGATCTTGATCTATGCCGCCGTGACCTTGACTCTCTGTGCTCGTCTTCTGGGCTTCTGCTCCTCTTTCTAAACGCCTTCTCTTTCTTCGCCTTGCCCTCGAGCCCTTCTAGAAGCGCCAGTGTATCATCGATAGCGTCCGCGCCGCCGTTGTAGCCGGGAGTCTTGTCGGGCACGGCAAGACCGCTGAAGACCTTTTCGTTCTCCTCGAATGTCCGATGGTGATGATGCTCGTCGTGGTGCGCATCTCCATTCTGTCCTTTGAACTTGGGGTGCATCGCCACCACCAGACGATCTAAACTGTCCACCAAACTGGGCGGGAAGTCGGCATTGAGCCCGTCGAGCCTCTTGCGGAAATCATCGCTGGATTTGCTCTCGAGACGCTGTGCGATGAGGAACTCGGCGAGGGTCTTGTCGCTAATTCCAACATGATTCTGCAGCTCAGAGGTGACCTTTGAAACGAGGGACAGGAGCTCGAGATTCAAGAGATCGTCCATGTTTGCGGTCTGGGGTCCTGCAAGGCGCAGGTTTGAAAGTTGGTGAATTGGGACATGAGACGCGCTAATAGCAAGGCTGATGGTAGTAGTAGCAGAAAAGTATAAGGTCAGCCCCCATTGACCGAGGCTAAAGTTCGGGAGAGATTCGGTGAGAGAGCCTTGACCGAGTCAGAGTGTGTGGCCCAGTTTTATCCTTTTTACCACAGCAATGTACATACATGTAGAAGCGTGTCATGTCATGCGATTTCCACTGCATGAGAGCTGCATAAGCTACATGTAGGGATGCATCTTGCAGCAGCAACGCGAGACGGTGATTCGTATTGGATCGTGGATTATTCAGTAACTGATATCATCCAAAGGGAAAATAAAGAGATCAATAATGCATCCAATTAGTATGAAGCAATGCCCTCACCTCACTCAAAGGGTACGGTAGCATCGCGCCACAGCATAGCCTTTCCAGTACTAGACTTGATTTGTGTGATGTTGTGTGTGTTGTGATCCATTTCGGTGGTGACTCAACTCCAAAGCCAGGCTCCAGGCAAACACACCACACTTCCAAAATGTAGAAATTTATTTAGCTGTATATTTGAGAGTCAAAGTGTTAATGTATCGTCTCCAGACAATAGTGATTGCATCAGTGAATACTTCTGTCAAACCTGTTCAGCTGCAAATCCAACAACTGATGTTCCGTGTCTCTCAGACTTACCCTGTAAGGGCACCCCCAACATACTATCCATTCCATTTTTTCAGCGAGTCCAACCGCCTACGCAGCCTCTCCCTTCAGTGGGCTTAGCACCCTTTGCCCCCCCTACACCCGGCCAATCACACTCCCCTCTTCCGCCCCATCATTACGCAACCCCCATTCAATAAGCAGCTTCAGCATCGTCATCATCCGTCACAAGCCCACTTCGCCTTCTTTTATCATTTATCCTTCCCTTCTGGTAGGGCGAGAAAAACCGACCAACGACGAGACCCGTGATTTCTTGATTTCTTCTCTTCTTCGCCTGTACTACATCTCACTCTTCACTCTTACTCGCGATAGACTCTGAGCTTCAGACCTCGATTCTTATCACCAACAACAGCCATCCAACATCATGTGCTCTGCCGACATCTTCCTCGGCGTCCTCGCCGTTCTCTTCCCCCCGCTACCTGGTAAGTCGCATCACCCCACCATCTATGCATCGTCATCTTCTCTGCGGCTTTGTCTGCTGTGAGACAATCTTTGCTTGGTTGCTTGTTGCCTGCCTAATAGACTCGCTAACCGCCCCCTCTAGTCTGGGTCAAGTGCGGCATCTGTAGCGCCGACTCCCTCATCAACATCCTCCTCTGCATCCTCGGCTTCATCCCCGGCCTTCTCCACGCCTGGTACATCATCGCAAAGTTCCCCGAGCCGGCCTACGAGTACGAGGCCATCCCCAACGAGAACGGAGGCGGCCGTGTCACATACGTCTACGTTCAGACGCCCCATGGCCCTCGCTGCCAACAGCCCAAGCCCCAGGAGGACCAGGGCCGCATGAACTACGGCACCACCTCCCATCCTCAGCAGCACCCCAGCCCTTCTCCTCGGCCTCAGCAGAACGGCGGCGCGAGCTCTGGAGAGGGCAGCTCTGAGCCCCAAGGCGTTCCTCCTTCGTACGCCGAGGTTGTTGCCGGCGACCACAAGGTCCAGACACGCGATTAAACGGGAAAATGCAGTTTGTCGCCATCAGCTCTGCCGGGCTGTCGAACAAACTCGACAGATATAAATACAGATCTATATAACGGCGCGGCGATACAGATAAATGCCATGCTGTTAACAAAGGTCGGGTGGATGGAGAGCAGAGGGGGTGATGCGCTGCCCTTTTAGCTGCTCTTTGTTTAGATATCTGGGTTTTTCTCTTTGTCTCAACGTTTCTCAACGTTTCCTCTTTCTTCTTTCTTCTTCTCTTTCTTATTATGTACCACACAAAGCGTTGAATTTCACAAACATGTCATGATTAGGATCAAAGGTTCTGCACTGTTTCTCTATGCGGTAGGAAGAGGGCGTTGATATGGCCGAACTAATAGTCCTGTGCTACTTTCAATAAAACTGGTCAAACCAACCCAAGGCACACATGTCCCGTATGTTTATTCCTCCACTGGTTGATTGTCTTCCGCGGTAAGATTATGCACTGATGGTGCAGGGCGGTCATTTACTTGAGGAGCTCTGAAGTGTACCATCAACTCCTGCGCAAGGAATGTGTAGAATGAGGGGACAATCTTGCGAATGTGCTTGACAAACCGAACGCCAGCCCCAAGTTCGTAGATCTCCAACGTCATTTTCATGCCTGGCTTGAGGTTGACGAGGATGTTTTGCTCGAAATACAAGTCGATCTCTTTGCCCTGGAGAGGATGCTGTATGTCTGGCTCGACCCATCCATCCTCAATCACGGCTGGTTTGAGGGTGATTTTGCCTAATGACAAGAGCCGGATCTTCTTGTTGCCGTCTGTGGTGATGGCCAGCTTCTGGAATCGCTCAGTCAGCTCTGTGGTTGGGAGATTGACCTTTGTTATCTCTAGAGTGCATTCATATTGCCTGACAAGCTCAACAGCGTTTCCAACGAGATGCTCAAACACTTCATTGTCGTCCAGCATAGTAATGGCCGAATAGAAGACAGACTTTGCATCGAATCCCTCGGGAATCTGAAACAGATCAAGGGCCCATGCGTCGGGATCAGTCTTCGAGAACAACTCGGTCGCGGCAAAGTTGAAGAGGCCCGGAAGTGCGGTTTGCAGAGAGTTGAGCATTGGCCATTCTTCTCTAGCCATCAGACAGACTTTGAGCGCCTCCTTGACATTCTCTTCATACTCGGGACAGACGTCGTGATGGAGGACATATCGAAGAAAATTCTCAATCACATCGATTGCGTCTTCCATCGGTCCAGCCACGAGGCCAGTCAAGGGGATGATTGCTCTGGAGAGAAAGCCTGCCGCAACGCCGGCAAAGTCGACAGTCCACTTGGTTTCGTCGCCGTCGTGGAAGCGGTCGCCGCCACCAGTGCCTTCGTAGACGACATCTCTGGCCGCGGCATCTCGACGCTGTGCAGGCGTGAGCTGTTTGAGCTCTCTGGGGTCGAGTCCAGTGTAGGCGCCTTGATTTGTATCCACGCCGCCGAGGAAGAGGTAGTCGTTGAAGTAGGTGGTTCTCGGGAATTGGAGGCGGCGACGAGAGCGGAAACGCTGAATGCAAGACTGGATGCGTCTAGATGGTGGTGTGCCAGGTTAGCTGAACCGAAGCGAGAAGAGAGGGGTTATTCGGATGGTTGATGGTACTTTTCAAAGGAAATGTCTCTGTGAATCCATGTTAGCTTCTAGAGTTGACCAATATGTCCGTTGGGATGTGCTTACGGAGAATATATCTCTTGTTTCTCCTCCATGGCCTCATCAGGCGTCATGGGAGGGTCTGCAAAATACTCTATCCTCGTGTTAACATCGAGTCGCCTTTGCGAAAACTGTGGAAGATGAGATGCTATACCTTCAAATCCATTACCGCGATTCTTGGGCAAAGCCGTTGGACCCCTGCCAGATGTTGATTTCTTGTTCTTTCGTTTCTTCGTGGGCGCCGAAAGTTGAGCAGGATCAATGGCGTCCGCTTCTTCTCCCCCTTCCTCAGCTTCCTCTCCAGCTTCCGTGACTGAGAGGGTTGGTATCGAGATGACACTGCCGTCCACTTCAGGCTGTGGTTCCATGGCTTTGCCACCATCGCCGTCTGGAGCTGCAGCAGAATCCATCTCTGGCAGCATCGTGAGATGAGACTAGAGAGTTGCTACGAGGAGGAGAAATGAGGATGAAAAAAAGAATGAGAAGATAGAGAGGGGAGAGGAGAGAGAAGAGGTTGGCGAGTTGTTGCCTGAGGAGAGCGAGTGACGGCGGTGGCAGGTGCTCAACAGCTGGTTTACGCTGACACCGCCGAATAGGCGAAAATTTGCATCAACTTGGCAGAAGGGTGGGAAATTTCACTGTCTCACAGTTATATACAACCAATTCATATTCTTGGACCTTTTGTTACTGCCATATACATGCAGCAAGGCAAGCTGCTGAATGCCTATTGCCGCTATCATGCATGTATCCTATCGTGGGTAGAATCCATTTTGGCTGAGCTGGGAGATGGGCTATGAGCCTCGGACATGGTTAGGTACTGATTCAACTTCTCATCAATTTAAATAAAACTCCAAATGTAGGGATGTCTCTAAAGCAGCTCACAGATACATACATGTAACGAATTTACTGCCCTTACTATTCAGAAGACGGGCCTTGGAGTTCTCGCTCTATAAATCTTCGCTACATACCTAATAGGTAGTTATGAAGCGCCTCTATCAGAGTGAAGAGACTGCATGACCGAGTAAGTGAATGTTTATTCAATTTGTGAAAGGACTTGTCCATTCAATCGATTTCAACATTTAGACTATGGTAAACATGCATGCAAGCATCTTCAGGTAGTTATGGAAACTATTAGTGACCACATGTTGTATGAGCCACATCACTCTACCTATGAGCGTATCGTCGTCTTATTGTCAACTCACTCTTCTTGGATAACTCAAGAGGCACCGTGTCATGTATTTTATTTTGCAACTCCCGGACCAATATACATGGGTTCTTTTCTTCTTCTTAGCCAATTTCGCCTTGTACTCACATACGTTCTCGAGGCGCCTGCCACAGAAACGGGACATCACCAAACAGCACTTTTTACTCTGAGTATGAAATACTTTGGTAGGTTTAGAAGAAGTGTAAATTACTAGTAATTAACAAAAAAGGCGCTAATGGGCTGTTGGTTCGTAACAGCATGCTCTATGTACAGATTCTTTGACGGCTGAGATGTACTGTGTTTCCGCCCAATTAAGCTCTCGTTCCTTTATCGAACGGGGCACATTTAGTGCGAGACGGTGAGGCCGAAGACGTGAATATCAGAGTCGTCGCTACCCTGGTTATAGTTGCCCACCTTGAAAAAGGCCCTGGATGTAGTAAAGTACTGCTTCAGGGTCTTGAAGGCTCCGCCGTTAAGAGAGAATTGGAGCTGACCATTCTCAAAACGCATCTCATAATGGAATCGGCTGCCGGGGGTGACAGTGCCAATCTTGTTCAAGTCCTGGCCCTGACCTCCGGTTGCAACATACTCAACACCGACCGTGATCTGGCCACTGCTGCTGTAGTAGACCTCAGCCTGTATTATCTGTTAGCAACGTAATCGATGATTGACGCATAGTGGTTTGTTCACACGACTTACAAGAGGCTTGTTGTTGGAGTTTGACTGGAACACCTGGCCAATGCAGATGCTGCTACCAGTGGTGACGAGGAGGTCAGCCGTCAGGCGGTTGACCGCAGCAGTAGAGCTCCATGAAGCAGTCTCGCCCAATTCGGAGCGGCAGCGCGGTGCACCCGAGAAGTAAGCACATCTTCCTCCTCCAGGGGCCTTCATGACCAAGGCACCATCACCGGACTCGGTGAAGAAGTAATGGTGGCCAGGATCTTGGTAGCCAGAGCAACTCGCGAGTTGTGAGGCGGGGATTTGATCGGGTTTGTTGGTGGTGCCGCTTGGCAACTGAAGAACGAATCTGCTGAGGTCGAAATTGCCACCGGGAGCACAAGTTGGGTCCAAGGCGGCAGCAGACGAGAAAAAGAGGGCAATGGCAGCCATGGCCACGTTAGACTTTGAGGCGAGCATTCTGATAGTGAGTGGAGCGAAGGTTGGACCGAGCTAGAGTTGGTTTGATGAGATGGTTGTAGATACCGCTGTTTCACGAAGGCGGCATTGACCTTTATATATACACTTTCAATCATAGTAGCAACAGATTGAGCTTGTGGAATTGATTCCAGCTTCTCCCCACGACGTTCCATGCTTGAGGAGGGAGGTTCGCTGACCACCGAAAAGCCTCCGGCAGATCGCCCCATGGAGCCAGGTTCTGAATTATACACCAATGAACAAGCCCACACAACCGGAAAAAGTATTTCCAGATGAACCACACACGGGGTTACCCCTGGTGTCGATGGAACCTCGTAGCTGGCTTAATGACAACCCAGGCAATAGCAGGGGTACTGCGAAACACGTTAACTCGTCTGCTGAGGAACGTAGTGGTGTGCTCCAAGCTGGATGAAGAGCTAGCACTGCCTTGTGTCAAAACCTAGATTATAGTATATTATTGACTGTTCACGTACATGTATTCTAACTGCATTATGACCTAGCTATTGCTGCTACTAACCTCATGGAATCCTTCACAATGTTAGGGAGATAATTCCCGCCAGAGATATAGAGCATTGACCTCCATCTCTACCAGATGACTTCACCCCGCAACAAAATGCATGCTGCCCATCAGGGTTGATGTTATACTAGCTACTGGTATCTGATGTAATCCAGAAAGCCTTCCTCTGCGACTCATCATTTGACAAGTTCTTGCACGCCACGAAAGTCGTGTGTCAGGAGCTAACGAGTCATCTGTCCGCAATCTTCGGCGAGAAAGTTGCAAGTCTAGACTACGCCGCCAATCGGAATTGGAAACTGCTCGCTGGGGGCATTGCTACTCATGCACTCTATAAACTTAGCAAGAGCTTAGCTGGCACTGAGGACGATAATGGCAGCTGAAGGATGCGTTCTAAGCTAAAGCTGTATCCATTTAGTAATAGCTAAAAAACCACAGGTTTCGACCTTCCTGAAGCAGCGTGTTTTGTGTCAGTAGCCTCGCACCATTAGGGCCCACCAAGATTTGCTTCCTTACTGCGACATAGAACAATATGCCTAATATAGTTATATCCTCTCGTATAGCTGAGGCATCCTTCGTGATCTACGAGTTGGTGTCATGTAGGGTCTCGCTCTTAAAGAACAACCATGTATATTCCGAATAGGGGCACATCGTCTTTCCTAATTGATCCCGCCAGTATTCTCAATGTTGTATAATCGCGCTGATAATCCCACCAATAAACTAGGATATGGCCTCCATTCGTATGAACGAGACGTCGACAGATTCCCTTCCGCAGAATCCGGAAGTTCCAGATACGCTGAATTAAGGAGCTCTGGGCTTACCACAAACAACGCATCAACGGCAATATCATACTCCGTATACTTCAAGCAATTCGACATGCCATATTAGGCAACTTGATAATGCCGATTATCCGGCGGCGCCCCTTAGGCGCACAGAATCCTTAGTCAGCAAATGCCCGCTGTAAGATCGCCATAATAACCGCTGTAAGATGGCGCGGGAGTGGTGTGTAATCTAGTCCGGAACGACTGTAGGGAGTGAAGGTGTTGCTGGATTGTCGACCAGAGCGGTCTATCAATTGGAATCCTGGTCTCCAGGGGTAAGTTTTAGACTTAATAATATCAATATATATAGTGCCATCTATCCTTACTTATCTCCAACACATCTCTCTGTTGTTATAGCGGTTATTATAGCGGCTGTTGCTACATAACTATTGACATGTTAGGATTGATTCCATATAGTAGTCCACCTCGTGCTATTAGGCCCCAATAGCTACAGGGGCAGCGTCGGAATGACTAGGATGCTTTATATACCTAGGTATGGATCTAGAGATACACCGCTATACAGACCGAGATGGTCACTTCCAAGGTTCACTTTTAATGACTTGGATGCTTTATGTATGTAGAGATGCACCACGATACAGACTGAGGTGGTCACTTCACTTTTGCCATAGCGGTCTATTTCAACAGGCAGCTAGAAGAAGTACAGTCGTACAGTTCCGTGCGCCTATGGGGCCCCATAGTTATTATTCTTCAAAGTTGAAAGAGTTGATTATGCATTGTCACAAGAGATCAGTTATGTGCCTGGGTAATACTTGTTAATTCGTCCCCAACTAATTCACTGGGCTAAATGCTCTAGAGCCTGTCGAAGAGGCTGATGAATTCCAGATGAGATGGTGTAATTAGGGATAATTTGTTCGCTTAGATAATTATTTGTCAGAGAGCTGGGCACAAAGAGAAGAGTGATAAGAGTCAAAGATGGGAACAATCTGTATTCTAGCCACACACTCTAGCAGCTAGGTATCCGATAATGAATGTATTTATCTTAGAACCTTTCAAAACAAAGAGAAACCTCTTCTTTTATAGACTCCCTTTCAAGCCACAAGCGAACTTTGACGCTTCTTTCCAGCGTGAAAGCTTGTAGGCGCCTGAGACATTATTACAAGAGGCATCATAACATGTGACATTCTGCAAGTAAGTTGTCATTCAATTGCAATATTGTCCAATTAGGTCACTCGACGATTAATCCGTACAAAGTTGCACGTGTTGTGACATTCAAATTAAGCACCTCACTTCATCCATTATGACCATTAATCACCGTAACATCCTGAAAAAGGAGATGAAACAGACAAGATAGGGAAAAAAACACGATGACGAGACTGAGAGATCAATTTAAAAAAGAAGTAACTAACGCCTTCGTGTGTCGAGTAGACAAGCACTATTAATTAGTAGTTCCCGTGTATACGTAATTCTCCCTTTTCCCTCATCTGAATTGTCGACTCTTTCCCCCCTCAGCTTCCGCTCCATATCAAGTCCTCCGCCCAACATATGAAATAGATAGACAGTAGTTCCAGAGACAGTTGTTTACAGCATCAAGACGGCGGCGGCAGCACCGAGGATAGGAGCCAGCAGCTTGGCATCAGCAGTGGGGGCAATAGCCAGACCGGTAGAGGTAGAAGTGGTAGCAGAGGTTCTGGTGGTGACGCGAGTAGTGGCAGAGCGGGTAGTAGCCGGAATGGTGGTGGCAGCCCTGGTGGTCTCGCTGTTGGTAGTTCCGGGGATGGTGGTGGCAGACTCTGTGGTAGCAGACTCGACAGTGCTGATGGTGGTGGTGACGGGGATGGTAGTTGTGAAGGTGGTGCTGGTCACGGTCTCGCTGGTCTCAGTGCCAGTGGTCTCGGTATTAGTCTCGCTGGAGGCGATGGAAGAAGCTTCTGAGCGGATGCTGCTGGCGACGGACGAGGCCTCGGAGCGAATGCTAGAGGCAATGGCACTGCCAGAGGCAATAGCAGACGAGACGGCGGCAGACACAGACGAGATCAGAGGCGGCACGCTCTGGGCCATGGCTTCTCCGGACAGGAGGCCGAAGGCAACGACAACGAAAGTTTGGGGCTTCATTGTGAACGATTGGCTTTCTTCGTCTGGTGTAGGTGGAAGAAGGGGAAAAGAAGGAGGAGTGCAAGTGGACGACTTGGTGAACGGATGACTTATATGCTGGTATTTATATATACTTTGTATATATGGGCCGCGCGGGAGCAAAGGGAGGTGAGTGAACGAGAGATGTATGGATCAAAACAGAGGGAGACAACAGCCCTTTAAAGCGACCTGGACCTACACACCTCAACTCGCTTTTGCATTCTCTCCCTTGTCCAAAAAAAGAAAACTCATGCAACAGCCACAGCTGGGGGGATCCACGGGGCGATGAGGAAAAAACAGAGACACACAACAATCATACACACAGTGTTGACGTAGGCAAGGGAGGCGTTCTCCGGACACGGGGTACTCGAGAGCAGATCCCCGTACGAGCATAACATACATTGCGGTGGAAAAGTGGGATACCTGACCTCTGCATGATCCATTGGTAACTTGTACGTCCGGGCAGAGCTTCATCACCACCAATCCGCGCAGAGCCAGAGCTCGCTCTTACAAGTTAACGGGACAAAGAAGGCGACAGCACAGATGTGTCTCTTGCAGGGATTATTCCCGGTGGCTTGCAACCGATCGGCGCTGAGTGTTACGCGGAGAGGAGGCATGGCGCTGTAATGGTGACGTATCTTCGGCACACCGGCTGCGGGCGTTTTATGAGATTCTGATGCTGGCAAATGGCACAATGCCGGCGATCGGAGAGAATCCATGCTGTTGGGATTTATTACTAGTAGTTATGAGATGAGATTTCGTGATTATTTTCCGCTGGTTTTTTTTTGAGGGGGGAGGGTTGCAGTGATGAGGCTCTAATGACTCTGTGTCTGGTCATGGAATGTCAATGTTCGTCCTGATTAGGCAATTTTCCCCAACTAGACATCACCTCGTACATGGGCAAAAGCAAAGCTCGACGATCTTCCCTCGAGTGATCGCCCCAGAAACGGAACACGGCAAAGGCAGACGCATAAAAAGGATAAAAAAGAATAATAGAAATTACAAGAGAAAACACAACAACACAACGCTATTACTAGAGACACTGTATACAATAAGCTGTCTCACATGTCGTAATCCGCACGGGCTGCGCCTCAAGTGGACCAGTCCCTGCGGGCTTCCCCGTGGCTTGGGCCAGACATTTGCTTGGCCGTTTTGTTTTTTCATGGCTCCAGAAGAGGGCGTGAGAGGCCGGGCAGAAGCAGAACAAGGAAGAACAAAAAGACTGGGACACGGGGCAAGCTTGGCCTTGTGGAATCATGACGTTTGTATGACCCGTGCCGAGAAGAGCAACGGAACGTTGTTCGCGCAGGAAATTCGGTTGGGGCTTTGCCTTTTTGCTTCTCTCCCCAAAGGCGATTGAATTTTTGTTTTTCACCAGCTGGGCGGGCAGCCATGCCGACTGAGGCGCGGAACGGCTCGAAGCATATTTCTGGTTTATTCCATTCCTTGTTTTAGCATCTTGTTCCTCATTTTTCTCTCTCTGTCTCGTCCTTTTTGGCCGAAAGCCTGCAGTGTTTCGTAACGGTTTCTGGTCAGACATGTGCGTCTGATTGGCTGGGATAAGGAGGAGGCGGACGGACGGGTGGTACGCGCAAGCCCGGGCGTGGAATGAGGCCCATTCCGAAGCTTGTGAGACTTGCAATTTCAAAGGTTTGCCTACGGGGAGAAGAAATATGGAGTCTAGGACAAACAAACATAAACACACGCAGCCAATACAATACAAGTCGGAAGTTTTTAGATTAAGAATTGAATTAGGGAGCCAATGCACAGAAGCTGCCAAGGGAAATGGAAGAAAGCAATAGTTGGGGGGGGGGGGGGGGGGGGGACGAGAAAAGTTAAAAAAGGTTTAAAAAAACCGCCGTAAAATTTTTA